AACTGAGCTAAAATTCATAGATTTCCTCTGGAAGAATATTGTTAGTCGATTGGGAGTGCCGAATTCAATCATAACCGACAACAGGCGTCAGTTCGAAGGAAAGAAGCTTGACACCTTCCGTGGAGAATACGATATTAAACACTTCTTCTCTTCTCCATATCGTCTACAATCTAATGGACAAGTTGAAGCAGTGAACAAAATTATCAAGAACGTCTTGAAAACCCTACTCGACGCTGCTAAGGGTGCATGGCCTGAAGAGTTACCACATGTGCTTTGGGCTAACCGAACAACAACTCGGATATCAACAGGCAAAACACCTTTCTTACTTACATATGGGATGGAAGCAATGGTTCCTGTTAAAGTCGGATCCCCGACGTACCGAACAAAAATTTCGCTGAAGACTCAAACTCGGAAAAACATTAAAGCAAATCTTAACTTAAAGAAAAAACTGGGGTTCGTGCCGAAATAAGAAACGCTGCTTATAAACGACGGAGCGAAAGATACATCAATGCCAAAGTCAAACCTCGAATGTACCGAGTCGGCGACTTAGTCCTCAAGAGAATCACCGGACCTGACCTCGGACTGTTGTAACCGAAATGGGAAGGCCCTTTCAAAATTAGCCATGTTCTGCCAAAAGGCGCTTACCGACTCGAGTATCCTAACGGCACACAACACCAATACCCATGGAATGCTGTCTTCCTCAAAAAATATTACCAGTGAGCGGTGTAAATTTTTCTTACCAACATCCCCCCTTTCAATCCGCTCAAGCATTGCGGTGCCTATCCTTTCCAGCATATCATCCTCTTTGGCTTTAGCCACTGTGGCAATCACATTTTCCGAGAACATCTCCTCCTCGGTTTGCACTTCCAAAGATGTCACGGAATTATCGGCTCTGCAGCCGACAATTCCTTGACTTTTCTCGCCGCAAAATCAAGCACGGCCTAGCGAAGCTGCGCAAGAAACATGTTCTCAATGTTCTGCGCGACACTCACATCGGCCAAAGTATTGATGAAGACCTCGGCTAACTCCATCCTCTTGTCTTTCTCGCCCTCAAGGATCATCTCAGCAAAAGCACGACGTAGAAAGAGATCGCGCTCTTCGCTTAAGGGAATAATGTCGGGGTTCCCTCTTTCTTTTTCTCTCTCAGCCCGACTAAACAGCCAACCGCAAAAATCGATTTCATCATCGTCAGCAGGCACATGCATAGATTTGATTGACGAATTAAGACCATATTTCTTTAACCTCCTCAACAAATAAATTCGCAAGTCGTCAACAGTATAAAGCCCATCCCCAACTCTCTCGATAGACCACTCAAACTAACACAGGTGTTTATCATAAAATCAACTGCAACATTATCATCATCTTCCTTCCCTTCCTTGTTTCCGAAAATTTTTCTGGCCTCCGTACCTTTCTCGTACCTTAAATTCCCAAAAGCCATTTCTTTCTCCTCTAGACGGCGAGCTCTTTCTCATGAGCCTCGCGAGCTCGGATCAACAAAGCCTCTTTCTCCGAACAGTCACGCCGAGTTGCCTGGTGTTTGGTACGTTCTTTCAACAATTGTTCTTCTTTCGCTTTGGCCGTCTGCTCAGCGATGACAAGTCGGTCCATGAGATTCTTCAACTCGGTTTTTATACGCTTCTTTTCAGAGGTCAACTCTGCAATCTCGGGCTGAGCCACTTTTAGCTGATCATTTTTTTCGGCAACCGAGGCTATCAAACCAGCTTTCTCCTCCTCCAATGATGCTACTGTACTGGTTTGAACTCCTAATTCCTCTCTATTTTCATCCAAATCAACAAGACTTTGACGTTATTGTCCTCAACTGAAATCAAACTGACCAAAGCACGACCGAGACATGCTTTGGCATACCCAAATCTGTGAAAACCAGAAAGTGATGAAACCCAGCATTAATTCTTGGATCCCAAGCCTTTAATGGGATCTGAGCCGCCTCCATAGATGTCCTTGGAAAATGGTGTCAGTTAGGTAGTTTCGGACCCTCAACCGACGCAAACGTCGAGTACCACTTGTTTATTACGTCTGGCATTTTAACCTTTTTGACTCGTTCCTCATCGATTTTCAAATAAGTGACTTCACCAACTTCAACCGAAATCTCTTTTCCCTTTTCCTTTTCCTTCTCATTTTCTTTTGCTTTTTCCCCTTCTTCATTTTTCTCCTTCTCCTGCTCACCGCCATCATGTCGGTTTTTTGTTCTCCTCTCATCATCACTTTGTCTGCCCTAAGCACGCCTCTTGCTAACCCTCCTCAAGGGCATCTCCTGTTCTCCTACAGTTTCCTTGTTTACCTCAATCTCCACCGGAGTACTTTCTTTGATCAGCTCTGGGTCAGCCTGATTGGTAGACTCGACTATGGTAATTTGAGCTAACGCCAGATTTTCTGTGGCCCGACTTGGCTCACCACCTCAGAATTGTAGCACTCGGAGGCATCTGTACCCCAGCACCAGAAGATGTCCCACCGACATTATTCTTTTTCAAAGACATAACTATATTCCTGCGATTCATCTCGGTCAACCTTGCTTCTTTGTATTTTCTGACTTTAGCTCGAAGATCGAGATTGGGATGTCGGTTCCGATATGCCTGCGCGTCCTCCACCGAAGTAAATCCAAAGTATCCCAACAACGGATAATAAACTACGTAGAAAAGAAAGAGAGAACAAAGAATCAGAGGATTAGACAAGACAAAGTCTGTTAAATTTAACATAGATCAAATCTCACAAGAAGATTATGTTTACTCCGTACCTGGAATAAATTTCTTCTCGGTAACACCCGGAGATAAACCTGCTCGTTCGAGTCTAGGCTCCTGCACCAACTGTTTGTAGCTTCTCCTTGCCTTGCTAAGCTCGAACAACTTCTGAATGTTAAGTCCTAGCTCAGCACTGAGTTTTGGTTCGTTCTTGTGTGTGGCTACAAGTATGAAAAGGTCAACCTGTTAGTACAAAAGAAACAAGCTGGAATCAGAATAGTATGACACATCGAAGTAAACTTACTATATGATGAGGAAATACAAGTCGGGATGGTCATCCCGCCGATTAAGGGTTCTTTGAAGAAGTCGGTCGACTGTCAATCCCCTCCAGCCCATAACCATTCTTCTTGAAAACCGTGAAGGGTTTTCGGTATTTCTGTAACCAATCATCCTATTGCCAACCCCGTTTTTTGTTTGCCAGCACAAAAAAAGCAACATAAAGGGTCATGTACTTCCCTATCTGGACTCTTCCTAAATGTGAAAAGGGCTCCCATATCCGACACAGAAGGAAGGTCATAGCCCACTTCATTCAGCAATACCAACAGACCTATTATTTTCTTCCAGCTATTTGGAGAAATCTGACTCAAATTTAACTTCCAATCCCACAAATAATCCGTTATTAAATTGGGGAGGGGAAATCTTAATCCTAACCTCAGAGACTCGGCAAAAACCCCGATACATCCCGGAGGGGGACATGTAATACTCTCTCCGAGATAGGGAGCAAATAACCTAACCGACTCAGGAACCCTGATATGTTCCCGCAATAACACAACGTCGACGTCGGTGAGAATACTAGGTTCCCCTAAACCTTCATCCTCCGGCTCCAATAATCTGGAGGATCCATCGCATTTTCCTCAACAACCCAGTCGCCCTCAATATTATTTTTCTCTAGATTGAGCCGCTCCACAAAAAACGGATCTCAGCGATGGTACTCAAGCGCCCACTAAACCTTTTATGGGACGATGAATTTCGTCGATACTGTTCTACTACTATCACTACTGAGCACTATTTCTTTCCCAACCACACCCGATATGTTTGGCACAAAAAGCGAAGACAATTGACACAAGTCAAGAAAGAAAAGTTAAAATCCAAACCGACTTACCCATTGTCTAAGAACCCTAAGACCGAATCTGAATATGTAATCATTACAATCTCATTGACGATTGGGCCACCGCTTCAAAAAGGCTTATTGCATTTAATGCAATCCTATCTACCTCGTACGAAAAGTCAAAGCCACCGCGACTATAAATAGCAGAATTTACTGTAATAGAAGGGATCGAACTCTCGATACTCAAATGTGCCATCTCGATTACGATATATACCGACATCTTGTACTTAACACAAATACACCAAAATAATACAAAACCTCAATCTTTCTCGCTTTAGTTACGTTGTATCGTGGTTGTTAAATTTCGTATAACAACAGCCACCACAACATGTCCGTAGTAAATTGGATTCGTGACTCGAAAATCTCTTTCTGATCAATCGAGCATCTGTATGAAGTAGTGTTCGAGCAGCAACACAGAAACTCTTTCCACTCACGAACCGCCAACTTCAACACCACTTTCTCCAGCATCCAAACTTTCTCAAACTTCCATAATATACATAATTTTCAAAGCCACCACAACATGTTCGTAGTCAATTGGATTCGTAACTCTAATATCTCTTTAGGATCAATCGACCATATGAAATTCCTGCCACTCGTGAACCAGAACCGCCAATTTTACCACCACTTTCTCCGGCATCTAACCTTTCTCAAACTTTATTTCCAAAGCCACCACAACATGTACGTAGTCAATTGAATTCGTGACTCGAAAGTCTCTTTATGATCAATCGAGCAAACTCTGCTCCCACCAATCCCTAATACATTTTGTTGAATCCTGAAGCCCATCCCAACATTTGGTTCAATCACATGTTTAGTGACAAAATTTTGTCCCACCAGATAAACTGCATACAATTTACATCCAATCGTGATTGTTCATCTAAAATCAATTTTCCAGTTGTCGTTAGTAGGGTTGGCTTGGCCAAAGTTTATCAAGGCCAAATGATCTTTTTGGCTAATTTGTCATAGTTGTCACCGTAAGAAGAGGACCATTATATGCATACCTTAATAC